CCCCAAAACCCCAAAACCCCAAAACCCCAAAACCCCAAAACCCCAAAACCCCAGAAGATTGGAAAATGGTTGAATTAGTTGGAAGATATTAGGAATGCAAACAATTATTCACAATAATTGTAAATGTAGAAAGTGGCATCTCCGTCTTCAAAATCAGCCATGATGCTCCAGATATCAACGACTGTATTGGCTATTCAGGCTGCTAGGGTCATGAGAGCGATGATTAAGTAGAAGATCCATTCAATATTGCGCTTCTTGACTTGTACTTGGAGAAATAATGTCCCTATAAGGCCACCAAGGAAGGAGAAAAGAGTAATCCATCCAACATATCCATACAAAATATTCAAATTAAATATGAACTGGACCATATTTGCTAATCTAGCAATGAGCTCAACTATTAGGGATGTATAGAGTCCAACCTCCTTGGGGTAGCCTAGTTTGATCATAAATGGTGTACATATAAATACTATTCCTGCTCCGATGAAAGTAGTTATCATTCCTCAGACAAGCCCTACAGCAATAATACTGATCATTTTAAGCAGGTTGAAGGAGTGAGAAATTCCATGACCTGATTCAGGAAAACTTAGGAAGTGCTTCCTCGCAAGATAATAATTCAATAGAAAAATTCAAAATCCAGCAAAGGAATATGCTCCCATTATTATCCAAAACCAGGTGGAGCATATCTCAACATTAGTGATCGATTGAAAATTTGAATTCCCTCTCAATAAATTTTGAAGGATAAGCAACAAAAACATCACAATTCAGGGAAGAGTTCCTTGGTTATATGCATGTTTATTCTTACGACCACTGATCATTAATTCAAGACCATCTATTTCACGTGAGTTAAGATTTATATCTTCTGAATTATCGGTCTCTAAAATATAAAACTTCATAAACTTACCTGACGCATTTTTGATATCAAAAGAAACGATTGAATCATGATCAGGAGTCTCTTCATGATCATCTTGTACCAAGAAATGCTCTTCATTAATAACCACATCAGCTTCATGACGTGAATTTATGGCAAATCCTTCCACGCTTTGGTCAAGATCTTTGCTCTCAACAAGCATGCTTTGGTCAAATACAATTTCGGCTCCTTGAGAGTCTTCCATTCTGACAACCTTCTTCCTCTCTTTGAAGTAACTAGCCGTGGATATTATGCATCCGATTGTGATGTAGACAAGCAAGAAGATGAAAATAGAAGATTCTATTATTCTCGAAAGAATCTGGTTAAACACTTCTCCGAGCTGGCATCCTATCAGAATCGCTGGCATTAGAATTGATGCAAATTTGAAGTCAACTTTACTGTAGTTTTGCAGATACGGTCCCCTGTCAAGAAGAGATATTGATAAAAGTCATAAAGTAGCAATCATCATGGGGATTTGGAGATGTATAACTGCTGCTTTATGGGTGAAATTGAAGCAAACCTTTATTATTACTAGGACTAACTCAACTCCTAGGAGCCTTATTCCTTGTGAGATGCTTACAGAGCACATTATTAGAATCGACCCAATGATTCCGGCTACTACAGACTGCATTTTAATAATTATTTGTATAATAAGGGGTTTTGGGGTTTTGGGGTTTTGGGG